GGGAGGGGTGATGAATCAAGGAAGTATAACAAACAGACAGATGGACGAACAGACAGTCAAATAGCCAAAGAAATCAGTTGACTCATCAAAAATGTTTTTGCTTTGTTTTGTATTTTTCGTTTCTTTTTCATTTAAACGGACCATACACCATCAGCCATCATGTCGTTAACGCTGCAACGCTTTAAAAATGAGGGTGGTCGGCGGGTGCTCTGGTGTGGTTAGCTCCTTTTTTCCTATTAAAAATTTATTTGTCCTGATCTCTCCTCCTTTTTTTTTTGGTGTTTGTTACTCTCTTGTAACACCTCTAATCTGCGGTATATATTTATATGACCTTATTGTGTTGCAAGTGCCGTAAAACTCTTAGAACTTACGATGTAAACGCGACGGGCCCTGGTCTCACACTAGCCTGAATGATCTAGCTCAGACGCAAAGTAAGTGTAAATGTAGGGGCCAACGTCCCTATCAACATTACTAGATTAATAAGAAGGTGGGACCTCCGAATTTAACGTCTGCCACCTATAGGACCGAGCCAAATAGGTTGAGCCTTAAAAACTCCACAAAATGACCCGCGTTCAAGAACACATTGTATCGGATTCGAACCAGGGCCATCTGCTCCGTAGTTTATCATGATATCAACTGAACTAACGGAACGCCCCTCATAAAGAGGTGGGAGAAAGGGTGGACTTGTTTGTTTGAGAACAAAGACATTATAATAACGATAATCTACTGCAAGGAAAAAGCAAGACGGAGGGACAGAAACTACGTAGAGAAAGAAACCAGTTAACAAGACCTACTAGTTGCGCCCTCCAGCTATCCGCAGTGACAGCACCTGGTCTATTTCGTTTGAGTAAAGAGAAGCACATCGACACATATGAAAGAGCAAGACAGGTCGAAAAGGGACAGAGAGAAAAGAAATACCACCTCCTAATGCCACCCTCCAACAGCCCACTCCACGTCCTTTGGTAAACGGATTGGCACGGATGAGAGACTTACGGAAGACAAAGTCAATTAAGGGGAAAATGGCCTCCCCTCCGTCTTATAGGTCGTGCTGTTGCGAATGAGTATGAGTCACCTCCCATTAGAGAGTAGAAGGGGGGGGGGGGCGTAAGTTGAACCACAACTTGGTTGGACAGCCGATTGTTTAAATCCTCCTCCCAGCCGCTTTGTTTCATCTGCGACCCGGTGACCCCTCCTCCGACACTCAACCCCTTCCCCACATCAACTCACCCCTCCCGTGTTTCTTTCCGCCTGGCGTGAGTACAGCAAATTTCTCATTAGCTCGCGTGCACCCGGGCGAGGGTTGGGGCGAGGGTTGGGGGGAAGGCGCGTGCAGTTCCCAACGTTGTTTACGCCGCTCACTTACACTAAGTAAACACTAGAGGTCACGGGACCCCCGAGAGCACCTCTGCAGCACTCGACAAGTTGTCATGTTGTGTTGTGCTGGCCGTCATATAAACTCCCTGGCACCGCCCGTCATTCCCAAAACATGTGGGGCACACAACTAAATAAAACTGGCGGCGTTAGAGCAGGAAAAATTAGTTTCACAATAACGAACAACTTTTTTTTTTAAAGATCTAAACTGTGAACCAAGTTCCTGAAAATATGATTGTTAAGGGCTACTTCGGACAAGATCTGTGTGCTGGCTTACTATCATGCTTTTTAAAGTCATTTCACCTTTGACGATTTGATCTGGGGGGGGGGGGGTTCTCTAGGCATACTGAAACCTCAAGATAATTTACCCCCAACGTCTACTTACTGATGTACACAACTCCCTTAATCTCTTAGATCAAGGTCATGCCCCGTGGATATAGCTTGCGGTGACTAAGAAGTGAGTCAAAGTCATGCTTGCTGAATACTATGAGGTTTCTTCCAGTTAAATGATATAGCGTAGGTAAAGGACCAGAAGTTCAAAAGAATGCACAGACCTATTAATTGACAATGAGTTGTATGTAGCTTTTCAGGGATAGGAAGTTCTTGGTCTGACGTTTGATTTTTTAAGGGCGTCTAGGGTTCTTTTCCGACATATTGTTCTTTTCAGAACTCAGTTAATTTCGCTTAAAAAGTTAAAGTGCATATTTTTAGTCGTGTATCCCACAGAAAAATTAAAAGGCGTGTTTGTCCGTGTTTCTGTAACTGACTGTTTTTACTTGGTTGGGTAGTTGGCCCTTCGCAAACTGGCTCTTTTGGGCGACCAGACCTATACACCTTTAGTCGCCTCTTACGACACGCAGTATCACGGCAGGTGTATTTTTTGGTTTCCCATAGTAAAACTATGCCCCCCCCCCCCCCCCACACACACCCACCTGAAGATCGGATGGACAGACAGGGTCACCAACGAGGAAGTGTTGAAAACAAGACAGATCCCTGTCAGAGATGAAGTAGGAAGAAGGCGGTGGCGATGGATTGGACATACTCTCAGGAAGTTGGGCAGTTGAATAACAAAGAAAGTGTTTGACTGGAATCCACAAGGTAAAAGATCAAAGGGAAGACTGCGTGGATCCTGGAGAAGAACCACAGAAACTGATGTACAGAAAAGTGGGAAGACATGGAATAACATCAAGAGGCTAGCCCAGGATAGAGAAAGGTGAAAAGTGTTTATCCGTGGCCTGTACCATGGTGCAGGGTGAGAAAGGCAATGATGATAATGGTCTCACAGAAAGCTCTCACAATTTATAAAACTTCCTTGGAAGGCTTGTTCTTTAAAAAAAAACTTTCTCAGTGCCCGGGGAGAGGGTGGAGAGGAGGAGATTTAAGTGGGGGGTTTTCTTCCTGATTACTTTTAACTTTTTATATCGATATCTCGAACACGCAGTAAAACTTTTTAAAGAAAACCAACTAAAGTATTGATGGATTCATGCAAACCCCGGGCAGGGAGGGATACCTCCCAGCAATAAGACACAAGTGCTCGACGCTATAACTATAAGCCTTCGTGTTCTGTAGGGAATAGATCCTATGTCGTTCCGTGATAGAGACACAGCGCCGCACCATTGGCTCCACAGTTGATGGTTTTACCCTGAGACTCTCATGATAGTCCCCCCCCCCCCCCCACACTTTTTTTGGGGGGGTGCCCTGCCATTTGCAATAATATGCGAAACTGTATAGGTTTTACGCTCCTTTCAACACTGTTAGGGTATTTAAGAATGTCACGTCAATCGCCAATAACATAACCTAGCCATATGGATTAAGTAGCTTAAACATTCCCTATATTATCCCAAGTTCAGAAGGACCGGTTGCAAACTCGATTCAAGACCACCCGCTCTGTAGTCCATCGTGATACCACCTGAACTAAAGATACGCGCATGAATACCTTTCCTGGTACAAATGGGATAAGCTGGTGCGTCAGTTATTTTAATGAAAAATACGAAGACTTTAAAATAGTGTTTTAGTTTCCGTCTCTATCAAATACACAATCTTTCCCGTTCTAAAACCCACTGTTTATTTTATTATTTTACTTTGTCTATATCCGATAAGACAAGATTTGCCCATAATGTTCGTCTCTCAGGATTCTTTGATGGGGGCATTGGCTGCTGTGAATAGGTATTTGCTGGCTGTGGCTCAGAAACGATTTAGTTTTTTCCTGAAGAATCTTTACTAGTTCCAAGAACAGAATGCGTCTACGTTGGGCAAAATGCCTCTGAC